TCATTTCCTACCTTAGTATCTTGCAACTTGCAGGTGTGCAGTAAATATTGCCAATGAATTATATCTCCCTGTCTCCTCCAACACAGCGGCAACCGCCTGCTTGTACGGAAAACTGAACACGCAATAGTCACAGCTAAGATTTATTGCACACTTTACTTCAAGCCAGGCGCAATGCTTATAGAAGCACCTTGCATGCCTCTTTTTATTTACTAGAAAAAAATTTTTAGTTGTGGTAACGTGTGTTATTATTTAGTAATGATTTTAAACATCAGGGATCTGAGGCCCAGAGAGGTTAAGTGACTTGCCTAAGGTCACACAGTAAGTGGTGGATCAGGGACTTGAACTCTCATTTGATTGACTCAGAAAGTCCTTTTCTTAACTATTAGGTGATCTTGCTCCCTTGATTCTCAAAATCTATGTCAGGAAATGTGTGCTGTAATATTCAAGGCAATGTCATCAGAGCTCACACTCACGGGAGGCTTATTTTGTGCCCAACTCTAAGTGTTTTATGTGAACTATCCTGTGTAACCCTCCCAAACAGTCCTATGAGGTAAGGACTGTAATTAACCCAGTTTACAGATGTGGAAGCTGAGTCATAGGGGAGTTAAGTAAGTAGCCCTTGAGTGGCTGAGCTAGGATTCAAACCCAGGCAGCCTGGCTGCAGAGCCCAGAGCAGACACTGTCAGCACCTCCCTGCCCTCCTTCCAGCAACCACCTTTCTGTGCAAGCCCGTCTGATGCTTCAAACCTCCCACCCCACGCTTGCACAACCCCAAAAGTAAGTACCTCCTGTGATTTTGTAACTTAGGCACCTCACCTGGCTCCCTCGGGTCCCAGACCTCCTAACTGCCGGCACTTGGACTTGGCTCTGTCCACCAGGGCTGGCTCAGCAAGTGTGGGGGCCAACGAGAAGTGCCGGGAAGTTAGCGTGGCAGCATCCCTCAGCCAATGACTGACAGAAGTTCTTGTTCTGGAGGATAAATACCCCAGCCCCCTCACCTCTGGGATAACTCTGAGGCATGTTCTATGGTTCCCAGTGCTCCCCAGCAGGAATGAGTCCCAGCTGCCCATAGTGGTAATTTGCTTGGTAAAGTGTACCCTTTTATTAACTTCCTTCCTTTCCTACTCCCTCCCTGATATTTCCTGGAATCACCTCTCAAATAAATAATTTGCAGTAGAATCCTTGTCTCTGAGTCTCTTTAGGGGAAACTCAAACTAAGTAGAGTCTAAAGTCCTAACCATGACACACTGCCTATACAGATCAACGTTGTTTGTAATTGCAAACAAAACAAGCAACTTAGGAAAAAACCCTGGAGGTCACCTAAACAGGGAACTGGCTAAATCAAAATCAATTCTATGGTATATATTCTGCTTTGTATTTAAAAAAAAATTTTTTTTTATGCTCTGGCCATGCTGTGGGGGGAGAACTGTGTTATCTGTGGGTTGCCAAGGAAAGTTCTCAAGTGCAAGTGTATATGGTGTCATGTACATATGTGCGTATGTGCATATGAGTGTTCCATTGCATCTTGACAGACCTCTTAGATCGACCACTTCCACGCCATAAAAACTTGCCTGAAACTTCAAGGTCATCCAGTCCAGCCAAGAGCAGGCAAACTTTGACTAAGACCAATTTCTCTTTTCAAACAGCCTAACAGGAAGGGCATCTATTGATAAGATCAGCACAAACGAATTTGCCATTTGTTGTGAGTTTTCAGAGTTCAAGCCAGAGCACCCCCGGCTGTTCTTGTGGGTTTTCAGGGGGAGGGTTTCTTTCAGAGATCTGAGGCTGGGAAGAGGAGGGTGGAGGAAGGAAGCTGATGTAGCTTAAACCAGCCACTGTTGTGGGGTTCTTGTCAACCTAAATTTTACAAAAAAATTTTCCAGGTTATTTAGGGGTGCTTTGCCAAAGACTGACTCAGAGAGGTGACAATCCCAGTTTGAGGCCCAGGATCGGGCATCTGTCAGGCCTGGGATCCGAAATGTCAGCTGAACTGGTCCTTCCACCTAAGAGAAGAGACCTTGCCTCAGACTTTTCTCTCTCCCCTGAACAGAGCCCTTTCTCAACACCAAGGCCTTTGTGTACATTATCTAATCCTCACCATAACCTATGAAGTAGAAGCACTCTTGTTATTTCCATAACATGTATGAGGAAAATGGGGCTCCCAGAAGTGAAGTAACTTATTTGCTCAATGGCACTCAACATTGGCTACTCAGCAGAGCTGGGATTTGAACCCAGGTCTGCCTTCCTCCAAAGGACTCAGCCCTTCTCAGAAGCTGGGGGTGAATGTGTAAGTCAGCTTTGCTGCATAACAAATAACCCCAAGGTTTCAATGGTTTACAACACACACACATTTCTTGCTCTGTGCTTCTGCTGGGCTCTGCTCAGTGCACCTTCTCATTCTGTGCCCTGAGGAATATGTCCATTCTTGTGGCAGAAGGGAAGCCCACCAAAAAGAAGGAGAAAACGCTAGCCACACTCCCTTAAAACTTTCTCCTGGATGTGATGTGCATTACTCCCCCTCATATCCTATTGGCCAAAGCGTGTCATATGGCCAAGTGGGGGCAGTGACATACAATCCTTTTACAGGGAAAGGGGAAAGAGTGAAAAATTGAGAACTATAATACAGTTTACTATGTCTGCCTTCTTGGTCACAAATATTAAGTTCTCTCCCATCAGCACTTAAAATACTACCCTACCCCTTCAAGGAAGACACCTCAAAAAGTCACATAGAGTCGTGATAGAAGGCTTGGAGTCTAGGATCTTGTAGTGGTCTCTGCTTCATTTGCTAAGACATTGTTGTCTTTGAAAACCTCTCCTGCAGGGTGTTGTACCACCTAGGAGGAATGAATAGGCTGTCACAGTTTCAGCCTCCTGTTGGGCAACCAGTGGAAAGGCATTTCGGTAGCAGGAGAGCTAGAAGACCAGCCAGGCCAGTCAGAGCAAGAAATTCCAACCACCACCACCACCACCATCTACAGTACACTTCTTATGGGCCAGGCAGGATGTTAAGAATGGTGTCTCATTTTATCCCCACAATAATACCTTTTTATGATTTTATCCCATACATTAGCATTATCAACCCATTTTACAGATATGAAGACCGAGGCTTAAAGAGCTTGACCCCAATTTATAAATCATTCACTTGACCATTGAGATAAGTCATCCCTACTTATTCTGCATGGTGGTTTATGGTCCTGAGACATTAACCCTTTAATTTCTATAGCTGCCATCTCCTTTCTAATGCCTTCAGTGCCATCTGAAGTGGTCTAACACTCCCACCAAGCTCTCCCAGCAATCCCACTGATCTTTTCCTCCCCACTCTATGCAGTCTACTACTTGTCACTCTGAGCATTGGCTCTGTATTAGTTATAATACAAGTTTAGCTGCTTTAATAATGAGATACTAACTAGTAGTTACTGAAATAATATAGAAACTTATTCCTCTTTCGTATAAAGGTATAAATAGGCGGCCTTGGGCTAAATGGCAGCTCTATAATTATCAGGTACCAAGGCTCCTTCCATCTTGTTTTTCTTCTATTTCTGGTATGTACCTCCCCTCTTGTGATACAATATGGCTGCTATAGCACCTGCCATCACATCTGCATTTCAACCATGGAGAGCTTGTAAAGGGGGAAATGAAGGGTATGTCTCCTACTTTCAAGGATACTTTCTAGAACTTATACATACATCTATTTACATCCCATTTGCTGGAAGGTAATCATATGGTTATATCTTGCTACAGTGGAGCTATGATGAAGTGTAATCTCTATTCTGGATGGCCTTGTGTGGTTTTATTACTAAAGGAAGAAAGAAGCACAGATATTGGGGAAAACTTTCTAAGGAGGGTCTCACCAAGCCTGTCGGTAAGATGGGCTTGCATTTCTCTTGGGCCTTCTGCCTTTTACCCAATGCCAGCAAACTTTCAAAGGCCTCCTCTGGCTACACGTAACTCTGAGGTGAGTCCGATGAAGGGCTTTCTTGACCTGTTGCTGTGCAGGGTTAATCCCATGAGTGACGTGTTCATATTGTTGCTCTGTTGCTTGCTGGCTGTGTGACTTTGGGCAAATAACTTCACCTCTCTGAGTTTCAGTTTTTTCCTCTGTAAAATGAAGGTCACAATAGTGCTTACCTTATACAGCTATGTGAGGGGATGGATAGGATGACAGATGGGGTGTTTAGCCTGCTACTTGGCTCTGAGCACTCAACACAATTTAACTATTATTACTTTTTTCCAGTAATTTAAAAAAAATAGAGTATCTCGGGGCCCCTGGGTGGTGCAGTGGGTTGAGCATCTGACTCTTGGTTTCAGCTCAGGTTGTGATTTCAGGGTCATGAGACTCTCTCTCCCTCTCCCTCTGCCTCTCTCCCCACACCCCCAGAATAAATAAATAAATCCTTTTATTTTTTTAATTTATTTTTTTTTAAAGATTTTATTTATTTATTTGAGACAGAGAGAATGAGAGAGAGAGAGAGCACATGAGAGGGGGGAGGGTCAGGGGGAGAAGCAGGCTCCCTGCCAAGCAGAGAGCCCGATGAGGGACTCGATCCAGGGACTCCAGGATCATGACCTGAGCCGAAGGCAGTCGCCCAACCAACTGAGCCACCCAGGCGCCCCAAATAAATCCTTTTAAAAAAATAGAGTGTCTCCTTGATCAACTGTTTAGAAAAGTACCACCTATTAGAAATAGAATGTGAGCCATATACGGAATTTAAATTTTTCCAGTAGCTACACTAAAAAGGTGAAAAGAACAGTGAAATTAATTTTTTAAATTATTTTTTAAAGCTTTCATTTATTTATTAATTTAAGTAATCTCTACACCCAGGGTGGGGCTCAAACTCACAATCCTGAGATCAAGAGTCCCATGCTCTTCCAACTGAGCCAGCCACGTGCCCCAAAAACAAGTGAAATTAGTTTTAATATTATATTTTATTTAACCCAGTATATCCAAAATATTTCAACATGTGAACAGTATACAGAAAAGTATTCATGAAATATTTTACCTTCTTTTTTAATGCATGAGGCTTTAAAATCCAGTGTGTATGTTCCACTGAGAGCACAGGACCAGCCACATGCAAGGGCTCAGAACCGTATGTGTGGAGTGGCTGCTGTATGGACAAGATAAACCCATCCTTCTCTGGTTCTGTCTCTGTGTAGAGCCAAAGAAACGTCATTATGCATCCAGATCGCTGGGACCTTGGCCAAGTCAACCGCCGGAAGCTTTCAGAATATTTATAGGTAACCGATTTCTAGAAAACAGAAAGTGAGACTGTCTCCAGGCCCCACCACCTTCCTTCAGTCTCAGGGTCACTACCTCAACTACTGTTTTCTAGAGACCCAGCAAAGCAGCAGTACGTGCATATGCGAATGTACAGGAAAAAGTCTGGAAGGATTCTTACCAGGTTGTTAAGAGTGGCGCTTAGGGATAATATCAAAACACAGTTTATAGTAATGCCGCCGATTTTTTCCATTGAGAATGTATTCATGTGTTACTTATATATAAGCAAAAGGTGAGAGAAAGAGAAAGGTAAAGAAATGTAATCATGATTTGGGGTAAATCTCTAAGAATTTAAACAGAAAACAGGGCCGGTGTGGGGACTCTGGTGCCAGCCGGCCCTGCCACCTACCAGCTGTGTGTCCCGGGGCAAGTTTCTTTTTCTTTCTTTCTTTTTTTTTTTTTTTTAAGATTTTTATTTATTTAACAGAGATAGAGAGAGAGCACAAGTAGGCAGAGTGGCAGACAGAGGGAGGGGAGAAGCAGGCTCTCCGCCGAGCAGGGAGCCCGATGCGGGGCTCGATCCCAGGACCCCGGGATCATGACCTGAGCCGAAGGCAGCCGCTTAACCGACTGAGCCACCCAGGCGCCCCTGGGGCAAGTCTCTTATGTTCTCTGAGCCTCAGTTTCTTAATAAAGTGGGGATGATAAGGGGACGTGCGTCACTGGGTTGTTTTGAGAATTAAGTGAAGTGAACATGTGTAGGGTGTTGTGATCATGCCTGGGACAGAAAAAGTGCTCAAAAAATGTTTTTGTGCTTTTTGGTTGGGAGAAGGTAGCAGGAAACTCTCTTGGTGCAGGTACACTGATGTGAGAGCTGCAGGATCCGGGTGCAGAGTCTGGATCTGCCATTAACTAGTTTGTGTGAACTTGGGTCTCAGTTTTATACGAATACTAATTCTAATATGAACAACAGCAATATATATATTTGAGTACTTGCTATCATCCAGAAACTTCCCATGTTTTATTTCACTGGGTCTTCACAACATCCCTCTGAGGCAGATGCTATTATCATTTCCCTTCTACAAATGAGGAAACAGAGGCTTGCCCAGGACCAGGCAGCTCCTAAGTCCCAGAGAAGGGATTTGAGCTGAGGGCCGTCTGCCAGATGCAAGAGCCTGAGGCGATGCCCATTGTACCACACTGCCCCATCTGTGGGTCTTGCCCAGTTTTGCTGCTCTGTGGTGCTGGGAGGTGAGTTGCATGCTGGGAGCTGAGCGTTCTGATTTTGAGCACTAGTTCTGTTGAGATTCTGGACCCTGGAGTTTGCCTATCAGTTTTGTCATCAGTAAAATCGGGCCAAGAAACGCAGTGCCCTGCCTTTGAGGGTTTTCTTGCCAGCTTTCTCTAGGGCTTCCTTTAGACCTTTGCTACCTCTTTTTATGTCATTGTCCCAAACACCTCACTCATGAGATCACGATGAAGATCATAGGACGTAAGTGGAAGATCTTTGGGATACTTCAACAAACAGCACCGGGCTTCCAAGCCAGACTATCCAGGAGGAGGAAAAAGGAGGTTGTAGGGAGGGAAATCTGAATCTGATCACATTAAAGAATACACGTGGGGTTTTCGAGAGAATGGTGACTTTTGCACAGAATCTCAGGAGGGAATACTCCGGCGCATACACGTGTATGTCCTCACATAGACAGGCTGTCTGAGATGCCCTGGCGGCCGACCTTCCGGGGAGTGGGGGGGGGGGGGGGACAAGGAAGTTGTTAAATTATCCAGCTGTTCTGTCTAAATATGCTGCACATCTGGTGGCCTGGAAACCTCTGGGTGACTTCTCACTTTACAGTCACGGTTTTGTTGTCTGGACTCAACCTTAGTGCTCTAGAGGAGGAAAAAGGAAAAAATAAAAGAAGAAACACTGGTAAATTAGAGGCAAGGGGGAGGGGAGAAAGCAGAGAGAGAGATTGAAAGAGAGAGAGAGACTGACAGATGGAGATACTCAGAGAGAGACAGATACAAGCATGCAGAGATGGACAGAAAGACAAAGGGAGGAAAGCAGATGGGGGGTGGGGGGAAGAGGGAGAAAGAGAGTGAGGGAGAGGAGACCCAAGCAGGGCGATGGAGAGAGATAAACACTGACAGAGATAGAGAAATTCACATAGAGACAGAGACATAAACACAGGAAAAGATAAAAAGATGAGATAGAGAGACACACAGAGAAAGTCAGACACGACTGGAAAGAGTGAGAGAAAGAGACAAAGATTGGGAGTGGAGACACCCACGTGCAGAGACCGAAACAAAGAAACACAGACACACAGACACTCAGACATACTCCAAGTGACAGATTTGCATAGAGAGATGGGCTGCCCGGCCACTGAGGAAGAGAGGGACAGAGGTAGAAAGGGACAGAGAGATTGAGATGGGTAAAGACAAATACACATACAGAGCAGAGACTAGAAAGAGACAGAGAATGAGACAAACAGAGAAAAAAAGGCAAAGAAACAGATCCACAAGGAGAAGAAAATAAACCATTCAAACAAAAAGAGCCATCAGGATTTTCTGTTATGCCAAAAAATCTTGGGAGTCAGAATGTGTTGTGTCAGGGCCTTAATGCAAAACATTAATCTCTCCAGAGGAAAGAGTGGGCTTTAAAAAATGGTTTTCATGTAAGTAATTGCTCCCCAAATGGGAAATTATTTTATTCATTTTTGTCTTTTCTCCATAGAATATCAGGACCTTCTGAGGAGCAACCAAAGACAGCATTTGAGTGTTTATCTACTTTCCACAAACATCTAGCATCAGTGGCTTCTTTTTCACAGGAGAAAAAAGTTTCTGGACAAGAATGAGGCCTCTTGATAAACACTGGGGGTGCACAGAGTGGACTGCCATGTAGAAGTGCTAGAACAGGGAATGCACTTCCTTGCACCTCTCATGCTGATGGACGATTAGTAGTGGCTTCCCAGAGTGCTGTGTGTGAAGGAGTTCTGAAACCACATCTCAGGGAGAAGGAATGCTGTGATCCATTATTGATGTCTGCCATGGTCTGGGAGGGGACAGTCATGGTGGCCATTATTTGCCATTCCTGTACCAGAATCTAGATCCTGTGTGAAATATTGGAGTAAGAGTACAAATGGAGGCCCACATACCATATGTCTAAATATATTACAAGTTAAAATCGAGTTGCACCTGTGGCCTGGACTGTGTTCTTACTCATGCCCAAGGTGGCCCCCCCCGGGATTTCCCTGTCAGCCCACAGACTAAAGGAGTTGAGCACTTCCCTGGGCCAGCCTCACCACCACAGTCCTGAATGGCAGCTGGACATGCAGGGTAGGGCAGGGTGAATGCAGGTTCCAGGCCTAGAATGGTGCTTGGGGTGGGGCCTCACCCAGGCAATCTAACTCAGGCTTCCCAGGCAGTTCTAAGCACCTCTTAGTGTATTTCCTGAATAGAGGAGCATAGTTAACTGGGGAACATGGTCCAAGACACTGACTGTAGGTGATTTGAGACGGCCTCCTTTGAACTGAAGCAGCCATTTTACCCTCAGTGCCTGGCTTAATGTCTGGCACATAGATTGCACAGTAAGTATTTGTTTTAAAAAATGAATTATTTAAATATACTTCTTTGTATATGAGTTCACTTGAGTCTGTCAGGTCCTACAACTCAGTGATCCCTCCTAAAAGTGAGTGGCCAGGGAGTGCTGTGAGGAGGGGGTGCTCTTTCTGTTTTATACACAAGGTCAGCAAAGGACTCACTGGCAAAGTGACATTTGAGCCAAGACTGAGGGAAGTGAGGGAGGAAACCATGAGGATATTTGGGGAATGATGTTCCAGGCAGTGAAAATAGCCAGTGCAAAGGCCCTGAGGCAGGACTGTGCCTGACATGTTTGAAGAACAGTGAGAAGGTTGGGGTGGCTGGAATGAAGTGAGTGAGAGCCAGAACAGCAGGTGCTATTACTCCTGTAGGCCTGCATGGCCATGTTAAGGGCTTTGGCTTTGACTCTGAACAAGATGGGGGCCATCAAAGGATTCAGAGCCTAGAACTGATTTACATTTTAAGAGGATCCCTCTGGCAGAAGGTATATTGGAGCAAATTATAGCAGAGAACTTCCCTAATCTGGGGAAGGAAACAGGCATCAAAATCCAGGAGGCACAGAGAACCCCCTCAAAATCAATAAAAATAGGTCAATACCCTGACATCTAATAGTAAAACTCACAAGTCTCAGAGACAAAGAGAAAATCCTGAAAACAGCTCGGGACAAGAGGTCCATAACCTAAAAAGGTAGAAACATTATACTGGCAGAAGACCTATCCACAGACACCTGGCAGGCCAGAAAGGACTGACATGATATATTCAGGGTGCTAAATGAGAAAAATAGGCAGCCAGGAATATTTTATCCAGCAAGGCTGTCATTCAAAATAGAAGGAGAGATTAAAAAGCTTCCAGGACAAACAGAAACTAAAAAAATTTGTGATCACCAAACCAGCCCTGCAAGAAATATTAAAGGGGATCCTTTAAGTGAAGAGAGAGCCCAAAAGTAACATAGACCAGAAAGGAACAGAGACAATATACAGAAACAGTGACTTTACAGGTAATACAATGGCACTAAATTCATATCTTTCAATAGTTACTCTGAATATAAGTGGGCTAAATGCCCCAATTAAAAGACACAGGGTATCAGATTGGATAAAAAAGCAAGATCCATCAATATGCTGTCTGCAAGAGCCTCATTTGAGATTCAAAGACACCTCCAGATTGAAAGTGAGGGGGTGGAAAACGATTTATCGTGCTAAGGGACATCAAAATAAAGCTGGGGTAGCAATCCTTATATCAGACAAATTATATTTTAAACCAAAGACTGTAATAAGAGATGAGGAAGGGCACTATATCATAATTAAAGGATCTATCCAACAAGAAGATTTAACAACTGTAAATATTTATGCCCCTAACATGGGAGCAGCCAATTATATAAACCAATTAATAAAAAAAAGTAAAGAAACACATCGATAATAATACAATAAGAGTAGGGGACTTTAATGCCCCACTCACTGCAACGGACAGATCACTGAAGCAGGAGATCAACAAGGAAACAAGGGCTTTGAATGACACACTGGACCAGATGGACTTCACAGATATATTCAGAGCAGTCCATCCTAAAGCAACAGAATACACATTCTTCTCGAGTGCACATGGAACATTCTCCAGAATAGATCACATCCTAGGTCACAAATCAGGTCTCAACTGGTACCAAAAGATTGAGATCATTCCCTGCATATTTTCAGACCACAATGCTTTGAAACTTGAATTCAATCACAAGAGGAAATTTGGAAAGAACTCAAATACACGGAGGTTAAAGAGCATCCTACTAAAGAATGAATGGGTCAACCAGGAAATTAAAGAAGAATTTAAAAAATTCATGGAAACAAATGAAAATGAAAACACAACTGTTCAAAACCTTTGGGATGCAGCAAAGGCGGTCCTAAGAGGGAAGTCTATAGTAATACAAGTCTTTCACAAGAAACAAGAAAGGTGTCAAATACATAACCTAAACTTACACCTAAAGGAGCTGGAGAAAGAACAGCAAATAAAGCCTAAACCCAGCAGGAGAAGAGAATTAATAAAGATTAGAGCAGAAATCAATGAAATAGAAACCAAAAGAACAGTAAACAGATCAACTAAACTAGGAGCTGGTTCTCTGAAAGAATTAATAAGATTGATAAACCCCTGACTAGACTTATCAAAAAGAAAAAAAGAAAGGACCCAAATAAATAAAATCATGAATGAAAGAGAAGAGATCACAACTAACACCGAAGAAATATAAGCAGTTATAAAAACATATTATGAGCAACTATATGCCAACAAATTAGGCAAGCTGGAAAAAATGGATTCATACTAGAGATGTATAAACTACCAAAACTGAAAACAGGAAGAAATAGGAAACCTGAGCAGACCCATAACCAGCAAGGAAATTGAAGCAATAATCAAAAATCTCCCAACAAACCAGAGTCCAGGGCCGGATGACTTGCCAGGGGAATTCTACAGAACATTTTTTTTTTTAAAGACTTTATTTATTTATTTGAGAGAGAGAATGAGCTAGAGAGAGCGAGCACATGAGAGGGGGGAGGGTCAGAGGGAGAAGCAGGCTCCCCGCTGAGCAGGGAGCCCGATGTGGGACTTGATCCCGGGACTCCAGGATCATGACCTGAGCCGAAGGCAGTCGCTTAATCAACTGAGCCACACAGGCGCCCCTCTACAGAACATTTAAAGAAGAATTAATACTTATTCTTCTGAAGCTGTTTCAAAAAATTGACATGGAAGGAAAACTTCCAAACTCTTTCTATGAAGCCAGCATTACCTTGATCCCCAAACCAGAAAAGACCCCATCAAAAAGGAGAATTGTAAACCAATATTCCTGATGAACATTGATATCAAAATACTCACCAAGATACTAGCCAATGGGTCCAACAGTACATTAAAAGGATTATTCACCACGACCAAGTGAGATTTATTCCTGGGCTGCAAGGTTGGTTCAACATCTGCAAATCAATCAATGTGATACACTACATAAATAAAAGAAAGGACAAGGACCATATGATCCTCTCAATAGATGCAGAAAAAACGTTTGACAAAGTACAGCATCCTTTCTTGGTTAAAACTCTTCACAGTGTAGGGATAGAGGGAACATACCTCAGTATCAAAAAAGCCATATGCGAGAAGCCCACAGCGAATATCATTCTCAATGGGGAAAAATTGAGCACTTTTCCCCTAAGGTCAGGAACATGGCAGGATGTCCACTATCACGACTATTGTTCAACATAGTAGTAGAAAGTCCTGGCCTCAGCAATCAGACAACAAAAAGAAATAAAAGGTATCTGAATCAGCAAAAAAGAAGTCAAACTCTTACTCTTCAAGATGATATGATAGTCTATGTGGAAAACCCAAAAGATTCTACCCCAAAATTGCTAGAACTCATACTGGAATTCAGCTAAGTGGCAGGATATAATCAATGCACAGAAATCAGTTGCATTTCTGTACACTAACAATGCGACAGAAAAGAGAAATTAAGGAGTTGATCCCATTTACAATTGCACCAGAAACGATAAGATACCTAGGAATAAACCTAACCAAAGAGGCAAAGGATCTTTACTCAGAAAACTATAGAACACTCATGAAAGAAATTGAGAAAACACAAAGAAATGGAAAAACATTCCATGCTCATGGATTGGAAGAACAAATATTGTTAAAACGTCGATGCTACCTAGAGCAATCTACACATTCACAGCAATCCCTATCAAAATATCATCAACGTTTTTCACAGAGCTGGAACAGGTAATCCTAAAATTTGTATGGAACCAGAAAAGACCCCAAATAGCCAAAGGAATGTTGTAAAAGAAAATCAAAGCTGGTGGCATCACAATTCCGGACTTCAAGCTCTGTTACAAAGCTGTAATCATCAAGAGAGAATGGTACTGGCACAAAAACAGACACATAGATCAATGGATCAGAATAGAGAACCCAGAAATGGACCCTCAACTCTATGGTCAACTAATTTTCAACAAAGCAGGAAAGAATATCCAATAGAAAAAAAGACAGTCTCTTCAACATATGGTTTTGGGAAAATTGGACAGCCACATGCAGAAGAATGAAACTGGATCATTTTCTTACACCATACACAAAAATAGACTCAAAATGGATGAAAGACCAAATGTGAGACAGGAATCCATCAAAATCTTAGAGGAGAACACAGGCAGCACCCTCTGTGACCTTGGCTGCAGCAACTTCTTGCCAGACATATCTCCAAAGGCAAGGGGAACAAAGGCAAAATAATGAACTGTTGGAACTTCATCAAGATAGAAAGCTTTTGCACAGCAAAGGAAACAGTTGACAAAAGCAAAAGACAAGTGACAGAATGGGAGATGATATTTGCAAAAGTCTTATCAGATAAAGGGCTAGTATCCAAAATCTGTAAAGAATTTATCAAACCAACACCCAAGGAACAAATAATCCAATCAAGAAATGGGCAGAAGACATGAACAGACATTTCTCCAAAGAAGACATAAAATGGCCAACAGACAGATGAAAAAATGCTCCACATCACTTGCCATCAGGGAAATAAAAATCAAAACCACAATGAGACACCACCTCACACCAGTCAGAATGGTTAAAATTAACAAGTCAGGAAATGACAGATGTTGGCAAGGATGCAGAGAAAGGGGAACCCTCTTACACTGCTGGTGGGAATGCAATCTGGTGCAGCCACTCTGGAAGACAGTATGGAGTTTCCTCAGAAAGTTGAAAATAGAGCTACCCTATGACCCAGCAATTGCACTACTAGGAATTTACCCCAAAGATACAAACATAGTGATCCTAAGGGCCACCTGCACCCCAGTGTTTATAGCAGCAATGTCCACAATAGCCAAACTGTGGAAAGAGCCCAGATGTCCATCAACAGATGAATGGATAAAGAAGATGTGGTATATATATATATGTTGGAATACTACTCAGCCATCAAAAAAATGAAATCTTGCCATTTGCAATGACATGGATGGAACTAGAGGATATTATGCTGAGTGAAATAAGTCAATCAGAGAAAGAAAATTATCATATGATCTCACTCATATGTGGAATTTAAGAAACAAAGCAGAGGATCATAAGGGAAGGGAGGGAAAAATAAAACAAGATAAAATCAGAGAGGGAGTCAAACCATAAGAGACTCTCAGTCTCAGGAAACAAACAGGGTTGTTGGAGGGGAGAGGGGATGGGGTAACTCCGTGATGGGCATTTAAGGAGGGCACGTGATGTCATGAGCACTGGGTATTATATAAAACTGATGAATCACTGAACTCTACCTCTGAAACTAATAATACATTACATGTTAATTAATTGAATTTTAATTAAAAAAACTAAAAAAACCCCCCCAAATATCAAATAAGCAATATTGATTATAGGTAATATATATAAATTATATATATCAATTTTCTATTGTTAACTTTTAAACAGTATTACTTTAATAGTAAAATAAAGGCATATATATTATGAAATAGAATGTAAAATTAACCTATATGATTATGATGAAATTATGATGAAATTAAAAAATGTTTTAATAAAGACAAAAAGAGGATCTCTCTGGCTGCTGGGCTGAGGATAGACCAGGTAGAAGCAGTGAGTTGGTCACAGACTTTCCAGATGAGAGGTGATGGTGGCTGGGTCAATAGCATAGAGATAGGGAAAAGTGGTCAGATTCCGGATATATGTTGAAGGCAAGTAATGACGGGATTTGCTAACGGATCGGATTGGGTGTGAGATGTGAGAGAATAAGCGAGTTAAGGATGAGCCAAAGAGGACAAGAGAGTCAGGATGATCCAAAATTTTGGCCTCAGCAATTGAAACGTTGGAGCTCTCACCACTCCCTGAATCTGAGAAAGATAGTGGGAGGGGCTAGTTTAGGGCAACAGATCAGGAGCTCAGGGTCAGCCACGGATGCTGGGGCGAGATCATGAAATCCAACAGCAGGCTGCACTGCATCAGGTGACTGCCTTCCGTGGCCTATTGGCTTGTCTATATTTTGATTCTTCCTCTTCTCTTTGCAAATACGTTTTCTCTGATTATTTGTCAGCATGAAAACATCTGACCCTACCCTGATTTGACAAGTTCCTGCCTTTCTTAGTTTATGCTTTAGAGCAGCAATTTTCAAATTGTGTGCCAAGGCACCCAGAGGCTCTGCAGCAAACTCACAGGGGCACCACGTCGTATTTTACATGTTCAAGGCAAATACAATGATAGTTGACATCTCTCCGATGCCTCTGGAGCTACTAAGCTCAAGGTAGCTCAAGCTAGTTTCAGCATTAGATTGCACGACATTCCTTTCCATGATGTCCTATCTTTGCAAGGTGGATTTTCCGTGGCTGTTGTAATAAAAAGCAATTACTACTTGAAAATCAACCTGGAACAGGAAAGAAGGTGTAACCCAATCTGCTTCCAAGGTTTGAGAATTCGTGCGGTGCCCCGACAGGCACATCCATCCCATTAGACAGCAATTGTGGTTATTTAAGAATGAAATAAAAAATTTTTCTTTCAAATTTATCTTTTCAAAGTCTACGTTATTAGGCCATAAAGACTTACTAAGTTGTTCGGAGCTAGCTACTTAATAAACGGAACTGTTAGGTATTACTTTTCGCCTAGGGCTGTCACGGGAAAAAAAAAAAAGGACAGAGACAATAGGCAAAGCGCCCACTAAGTAGGTTTGGGAGCACCTGCTGGAGACACAGTCTCTAATTGCTTACTGTCCAGCCAATGGGTTAACTAGCTTTGGATCAGGTGACCACGGCTGATCCAATCAGTGATCCCGTTGGTCTAGACACAGGGTCCAGAGGAACGGGGTTGGGGGGGGAGGTTGGTAAATCGCTGTTTGTTTTCAATACATCTGGTCACTTCACTTAACCATAACCCTAACACCAACTAAGGTGTTAAACTCAGAAACCTCACTCTAAGTCTTACCTTGAGCCCTGCTAGTGAGAAGCATTCTAAAATTCTAGAACTCGGCCACCTTTAAGACCTTCTAGGTCCTTTTGGATCCATTTTGGCGTCTGTCCCTAGTCTCTGACGCCCCTCGCAAACATCGTGGGCTTTCCATTTCTCAGCTGCTGAGCCTTTGCACCCTCATCCTGAATTTGCGACTCCCCCAGAGACTGGCTCTCGTGGGGGAGGAAGGGAGGGAGGAAGGGAGGAAGGAAGTTGGCCGGTACTCACTTTCTCAGCATCCCTGGCAGTTGGCTCAGCCAGTCACATGCACCCACTGAGGGGTTTGACCGTGGAGTCGGCAAAGCAGCAGGGACAAGGAGAAATTTGGGGATGCGTAGAAGGTGGTGGTGCGGGTGGTGTGGAAGCGGCAACACCATCTGGGCTCCAGGAGAGCAGTAGCCGGGAGGCTGGCGGGAGCGTCCCCTGGCCCGGCCTGGCGGGGTGGGCAGCACCAGCCGCAGTGGGAGGAGTTGTGGGTCCTCGGCGGCCTGGTCCGGGCAAGCTTCCGGCCGTGGGCCCTGCTGTGTGCCTGCCTTCTGTCTGTGCCTGGCTTCTGACCTCTTTCTCCAGCCTGCCTGGCAACTGTGTGAGCTCAGCACTCTCCCTGCAATAAATTCCCTTTCTGCTCAACTTAGTCAAGAGTCTGCTTCTGTATCTGGAGATGCTACTGAAAACTGAACTGATTCTGGAACCCACTTTATTCCTTTATTTGGTTGAAAAAAAAGTAATTCTGAAATATGTCGTATATAGAAAATGTATTTGTCCAGTCTCAAAAGCACTAATAAATACCCATATCCACACCAACCAGGCCATGAAATAAAATCTTATGTGTCTCAGAAGTAGGGTGATCTTATGTTCTGGTTTGTTTGGGACAGTTTGGATTTGGACCTGTTTTCTGCCGTAATTATAACTAGCACCCTCTTTTCATTCCCCAAAGTACGCCAGTTAGGCCACAAAATACATGGTCACCTTACCCAGAAGCGTCCTGTATGTTCCACTACCCCACTGCAGACCCTTCCTTCCCTCGAGTAACCAATGTCTGGAAATTTGCTTTAATTATTCCCCTCTTTTCTTTATAGTTTAAACACCAAAACAATGTATTGTTTACTTTTACCTGTTTTTGAGCTTTATGTAAACAGAATCATACTGTTCATATTTTGTGTGTGTGTGACTTGCTTCTTCCACTTAGCGTTAGGTGTGTGAAATTTTTGCCTGTTGTCACAAATAGCTGCAGTGTGTTCATTTTCCTGCTGCATACTATTCCATGATGTGGATATGCCATGGTTGATCCGTTCTCCTGTGCATGAGCATGTAACTTATCTCCAGGTTTTGTCAGTATAAACGATGCTGCAAGGAACGTTCTTACACGTGTCTTCTGGTGGGCGTGAACAAATGTTTCTTCGGGGTTTATCCCAAGTGAAGTTGCTGGCTCATCATTAAGCACATAACCAACTTTATAATTTGGTTTTGCCAAACTGTTTTCTAGAAAGGAGGTATCAATTATGTTCATTTCCTAAGGCTACTGTAACAAATTTCCACAACCTTGGTGGCTTAAAACAATAGAAATTTACTCTCTTATTCTTCTGGAAGCCAGAAGTCTGAAATCAACGTCATCGGGCTGAAATCAAAGTAGGAGGGGAACTGCACTCCCTCTGGAGGCTCTAGGGGAAGAATCTTGCCAGCTTCTGGTGGCTCTAGACGGTCTGTGGCTTGCGGCCCTATCATTCTAATCTGGGCCTGAGGAGGCTCACCGTTGGATGGTGAGATGGACAAGTGAGTCAGGTGATGCGAAAGAGTCAACTCTAAGGTGTTTTTACAGCATTTGACCCAGTGTGGGGAGGTCAAGGGAGGCTTCCTGGAGGAGGCGACATTTCAGTTGAGACTTAAATGACTAGAAAAGGTTAGGTAGGTGGGAGGAGACAAAGAGGTGGGAGAAGGTGTCTCAGGAAAAGAGAGCAGCAAAGGTGAAGGCCTGGAGGTAAGAAACAGCATGACATATTTGGGAAGGTGAAGCGTTTGATGTGGTTGTAATGAAGGATGGAGGCGGTGGAAGAAGTAGAAGGCTTTGCATCCTAAGCTAAAGAATCTGAAATAAAATATGAGTTAAAAGGTATGTATTTTAAAAGGATTCATTCTTGTGTGCTTGTTGTAAAATATTCAGCTATACATTGGAAATCAGAAGCCCCCTCATCATCCCAACTGGCCCAGAAGATGGCATCTAATAATATTTGGGGGTATAACTTTTTTCCTTTTAAAAATTGAGCTATAACTATATATATAGGAAAATGTCCAATTGTTAAGTACAGATAGATGAATTTTTACCCACATTTATACTCATGTAATTATCACTAAGATCAAGATACAGAACCAGCAAGTTTGGGGTCTTTCTAGATTTTTTTCTTTTTCTAGACCAATAATCATGTACATGTACATGTATACGCTAATATCTGAATATATACATGAGTATACTAATATGCAATATAATTTTATGTATATGTAATTATCTTATTTTTCAAAAATGGGATCATCCTTGATTTAATATTCTGCAATATTCTTTTTTCACTTAACATGGATTTTTTCCATATCAATACATAAAAATGAAGAAATGAAAGGTGACTGGTTCATTTATTTACTCATTCATTCAACAAATACTTTTTTTGAAGTTATACAATATGCTCAGCTGTGTGTTATTAAAGGGCTTTAACCAGGGGTGCCTGGGTGGCTCAGTCATTAAGTGACTGCCTTCGGCTCAGGTCATGATCCCAAGTTCCTGGGATCGAGCCCCGCATCGGGCTCCCTGCTCAGCGGAAAGCCTGCTTCTCCCACTTCCCCTGCTTGTGTTCCCTCTCTCGCTGTCTCTCTCTCTGTCAAAAGATAAAGAAAGTATTTTAAAAAAATGAAAAAAAAAATAAAGGGCTTTAACCAGAGGAATGACATAAAGAGGAATGATAGAACCAGTTTTACTTTTAGATAGATCATTCTGGAAGTATGCTCTCCCTCAATCCCTTGGGTGAGAGAGGAGGGGTAAAGCAATTCCCCAAAGTGGGTGGCAACTGCATTTTTCTTTTCAAATTTTAAGTATTTTTGAATAAGTATTACATTCAAGGGATTCAACATTCAAAAACCTCGAAGGGGCATTTAGTGTGAAGTCTTCCTTCCCTCCTATGCCCCGACCACTCATTTCTGCTCCAAGAGACAGCTGCCATCACTAACTTTCTTATGCGTTCTTCCAGAGATAGTGAAGGTGTACATGAGCAAACATATGTATGTGTTATATTTTGTAGTCCTTTAGAATTTTGAGTGATCACTCATATCAGTGCGTAAAGAGCATCCTCCCAGGGTGCCAAGCTGGCTCAGTCGGTAGAATATCTGCCTCTTGATCTCGGGGTTCTGAGTTCAAGCCCTACATTGGGTGTAGAGATTATTTAAAAAAAAAAAAAAAGCTTGAAAAAAAAATCCTCTTGCTTTTGGTGGCTGCTATTGAGTGGAAGGACAACTTCTATTTTCAAACCTTGCCCAGAAGTTTGGTATCTTTTACTCCCTACCAGACATCTCTCTGCCCCCAGCTGGTACACCCCTAAGGTGGGCTGGGTGGGAAGCAGGGCACTGAGAACTGGAAATATTCCTTGACCTCCCAGGAGGTCCCTGGGAGACATTCAGTGTCCCGGGGGCTGTTCCCACTCTCTATTATTTCAAGAAGATGCCCTGGCTCATTTATAGTCCTTTCCCCCTTGTTTCTGTGTCCAAGTGGGTCACCAGTTGACCTTAGTGTCCCCTTGCCCACACTGATCTCCCTCCCACTTGAGCATCCAGCTGTTCCATGGGTGCCTCAGAGCCCCCGGGGCCTGTGCCCACATATTCTGGCAGACAAGATCACCCTTGGTGATGGATGAAAAGTACTCATTTAATGAGTACCTACTATGTGCCAGGCTGTCTGGTAGCCTTTTACAAGTTAATTCTCATAGCAATCATGCCAAATAGGGCACTGTCATTCCCATTTTCTGGATGAGGAAACAGTCTCTGATAGGGAAGGCCAGAAGCTGGGTAATGGTGCAACCTGAATTTGAACCCATTGATGCCAGACATCTTGGTTATCCTTGGTTATCTTTGGTTATGCATTAAGCAGTAAGCACTCAATGTATATGTGCTGACTGAATGAATGAGTGAATTTGAGAGATGTTCTTGAGCAGGTCCTGTATGTCAGGCATTGGTCGAGGGGCTAAGGATTGAACAGTGAACCAGACAGCCTTCTCAGAGCTGAAATTCTAGTGGGGAAGACAATCTAAACAAATAAGTAGGCAAAGAAGAAAAGGTAAGATAATTAGATAGTAATAGGAATTGTAGAGGAAATATGAGATAATAGGCAGTGGCTGGGGGGGGTGAAGGTGGGTGGGTGAACTTCAGATAGAGACAGGGTCTGTAAGGAAGTGACCTTTGGACTAAATCTGAATGGCAAGAAGGAGTGAGGTACACAAATATGTGGTAGGGAGGAGAGGATTCCAGGCAGAGGGAACAGTATACGCAAAGGCCCTGAGGTTGGGTCAAGCTTGGTGTGTTTAGGGAACAGAGAAAATACCCGTGTGGCTACAGCAGAATACAAAGGAGAGTGGTAGGAGGTGAAGTTCAAGATGCAGACAGGGGCCAGATCACACTGGGTCTTGCTGGCTGAGTAAAGTCTTGGAGGGTTTAAGTAGGGGGATAATATTTTCTCAGGTTGCTATGTGGAGAATAGACCATGGGGTGGCAAGAGAGGAAGCAGGTAGCATATTGAGGAGGCCTGAGAGGGTGGTGACCTGGAAACAACAGAATGGGGAAGCATTTTGAAAGGAGAGCTGACAAAACTTGCTGATGAATTATGGTTGGGTGATGGAAGAAAAAGAAGGATCAAGGATAACTCCTTGGTTTCTGAATCCAGCAGCTGGGTGGATGGTGACAGAGCCATTTATTGAGATGGGAGGATGGGGATAAGTAGGTTTTTGTGGGGGTGGTTGGGGAGAGAGGAGGAGGAAATGGAATTCCACTTTGGACCCAGGAAGTGTGCTCTGCCCATTAGACATCCCAGTGGACATATTGGTTAGCAGCTGGATAATGAGTCTGGGACTCAGGGAAGAGGGCAGGGCAGGAGACTGATGAGTCATCACATTGATGGTATTAAAAGCCACACGACTGGATGAGATTGTGTGGGAGTGAGTGAAGACAGATCCCTCTTCAAGAGACAAGAGGGTGATGATACACATCACCCGGGGGTGGGGGTGGGGGGTGGGGACCAGCTCCTAGAATGGTGGTGGGACACCCAGCAAGCAGCTCAGCCTCAAACCCAGAGGGGCCCTGAGGGGCTCCGGCTGGGGTGGCTGCAGTGTGTTCTGGAAGTAAACGTTAGACGCTGTCTGCAGGGCCTTTGACCTTATGCTCCAATGCCCTCATTCTGAAGGCCTTCAGACGGCATTACCCGG